AAAAGCTTTTAATTTACACGTACAAGCGCTTTGACATATGGAAAATTTCATAAACTAAATGCTAAATCGGATAAATTTTAATTAATTTTATATTTATTTATATACAAAATAGTTGGATAATAACTTTTTTCATTAGTTTGATAATTTTGATCAAACTTAATCGCAAATGCACGCACATCAGGTGTGATACTTTGAACCTAAGATTTTTTGTTTGAAAGAATAAGCTCTCAACCAACATACTAAGAGTGTGTTTGGGGCGGCTTGTGGTTATCCAGATAAGTCGTTTATCTGGAAACACAGACTACAGGGTACGACCCGCGTTTCGCATTTAGTTAAGAAAATCATCTGTGTTTTCGAATAAGCTACTCAAACACAATTTTCAAACAATGAAACAACGTTTTCAAAACACAGCCGTAGCGAATAAACCGCCCCAAACATAGCCTAAGATTTCATACGTCAAACTTTTGAACGCACGACAACTACCTATAAAGAGTGTTGGCATCCAAAGATCATACACTTCCGAAATATATTTTTAGTTACATGCAACCAAATGAACCTTAAAAAAGGTGTTAATTGAGAATTGAAAGTACACATTATGAGATGCTGAAAAGTAGAAGGCAATTGGACATATAATCTGAAAGGGCAAATGTAACAATTTCATGTTAGCATGATGGTAAGCAACCGCAATTATTAATTAACTGTTAATTAATTTATTCCACGGGTCGTTATCGGAGTAGACCCGGTCAAAATATTCGCTATCGGATTCCGATACCGAATCTTCAGGAGAGTCCGCCGGGACCCACCACTGCTCTGACCAGCGTTAAGAATGTAGTTCACATCTAATTATTATGAGATTAAATTAAATAAAATTTAAATAAAACAATTCTAAAATTATTTTAAATAATATTTTATTTAATTTAAAATAAATTTAATAATTTTGAGCTTGAAGCTATGTTGAGTAAATTTTTTTTATGCATTTGTATGCACTAATTTTAATGAATTTGTATGAGATAACTTTTAGAGTAAAATTTAACATCACAAGCTCTGATTTTAATGATTTGTAGTTAAACTAAATATGATGATGATGTGAATCTAATGGTGTTAAAAGTGGTACAATTCTAGATCAAATGAGCCCAATTCAAACACCTAAAATGTGGTTAAAATTTTGAGATATTAATTAAAGAATTAAATGGTCTAAATCTTGAATACTTGATGGGTGTCGGAAGATTCGCGGATATAGAGTGATTATTTAGTCTCTTAATATTCCACAAAACTCAACATACACTTAGGTAATTAAAGCAACAAACAGAGAAACCAAATTTTTTTTTGTACAAATTTCTGAAAAGGGGGAATATAACTCATAGACCTAGCTCAGTTGAAATAGTTCATTATGAACAGTGGTACACATGCTCACTCTTCTCTCAAGTTAGAAAAGATAGATTACAAAGTTGAAGTAAAACAATATTTAATGGATGAAAGTCGCTGTGAGGCAAGTCAGTCAGTCAAGTAAGTATACGTGTCAAGTAATATGTGTTATAAGACTTTGTGTATCGATCCCACAAGGAAATGCTAACTCTTATTCAACATGAAAAATATCTAGCTCACTTACTCCATAAACCTAGCTACAAAGGAGGAAAATCTTATAATCTGACCAACAATTGAAATTAAATCAGTGTCGCACTATGTAGAAAAGAAAAAGCAGAAAAAGAGTGTGTTTTTCAAGACAGATGAGGCTCGTGCCACTGTGACTTGCGTATCGTGGGGGTTTGTGGTTTTTCTTAATATTTCTTATGTGATGGTTGTCAACCAAGAATTAAGTCTTCTTCTAAGCCTATGCCCGAGTCAGAAGAAGAATTAAAAATCCAAGAAGTTAAGTTTTACTTAACTTCATGTTGCTTCCAAAAATTCTTCTAATCTATTATCTACGTTGCAAAAACCTAACTAGAATATGTCTATTCTACTAGGATTATGTATTTAACTATTCGTTCCACTATGTGATGGGCACAATTCATATTTCACAAATTATTTTAATATCTTAATTGACAATACAAGGAGTAAAACCACTTCTAAAAGGCTAACCAATAACATAAAAACATGAAACATGGTAGCTCGAAAAAAATAACATGGAAAATATCTTGAATATATATATATATATATATATGACTTTTCAAATAAAAAAGGGGCCTTTAAGAATTCACTTGTCAACTTTATGTTCCTGGGTTGAGTCCATGGTAATTACTACATTGAAAGCTTTAAATGAATCTGCTTATTGGTGGAATCATGTAGATTGCTGCGTTGATATATTAAAAGCTCTAAGTAGATCTACCTTTTTAGTATTTGTTCTTGATTAAATGGGAAATTTTTAATGGCATTTTGATTATCCTTAGTCCCATATTATTTTATATTATTTAAGAGTTCACCATGATGGTGGGAACTTCTTTAGTTGATTTTAAGATTAATGAAGCCTTGCCACTTTGTAAGTTTAGTTTGATAAATCCATCATGGTAATTGTTAGTTGGCAAAATTAGCATGAACTCATAGATGCTTATAAGATTTGGAGGGTTTATTAAGTATTAGATGTAGTTAAGATAAAATAAGTTTAGAGTGGGTATTTAATGGTGGTTGAGGTTTTCTATGATAGGCATGAATTTAAGAAGATTACATGTGTCAGATCATCATTTAACAATTTGATTAATTGCTATTACGATGTGAGCCATAATATAAGTTTTTTCTCTTGTTTTATTTTAATTTTCTTTGCTTTACTTTTTTTTTTTTGGATTTGAGGGTTTGAAATAAGGTAATAAGAATGGGAGATGCAAAGAGCATTGTGATAAAAGTTGGGGGCTAGATTCCAATAAGGTAAAAATTTGGGCATGGTTGGGCTGGGGGTCAATTTCATTTGTAAGATAATATTTGTATATATTTTATCTCAAAAGAAAACATAAGATCTAATTGGGAGTAATCTAACATTTTCCCTAAGGAATTTGGATTTTAAAAATAATAAAGGCACTTGGCACTGAAGAGCTTAATTGTTGGCGATGGATTAAATTATCATTGGGGAATATTTTACTTATCTTGAAGACATTGATAATTTTAGATATTTAGATGGTGGAACATGGCCCTCTTTACTTTTTAGTGAAAGTTTTTCATAACACAATCTAGTTGGCTTCTAGTAGCAAAAAAATTATTATGTGCAGAGACTGCATGTCCAGACGATGGTCAAGATGGGCCGCTGTGTGATTCACGGCGGCATAGCCGAATCTTGACCGTCTTCCGTATTAGATGTAGTTAAGATAAAATAAGTTTAGAGTTGGTATTCGATGGTGGTCGAGGTTTGCTATGATAGGCATGAATTTAAGAAGATTACATGCGTCAGATCCTCATTTAACAATTTGATTAATTGCTATTACGATGTGAGCCATAATATAAGTTTTTTCTCTTGTTTTATTTTAATTTTCTTTGCTTTACTTTTTTTTTTTTGGATTTGAGGGTTTGAAATAAGGTAATAAGAATGGGAGATGCAGAGAGCATTGTGATAAAAGTTGGGGGCTAGATTCCAATAAGATAAGAGTCTGGGCATGGTTGGGCAGGGGGCCAATTTCGTTTGTGAGATAATATTTGTATAGATTTTATCTCGAAAGAAAACATAAGATCTAATTGGGAGTAATCTAACATTTTCCCTAAGGAATTTGGATTTTAAAAATAATAAAGGCACTTGGCACTGAAGAGCTTAATTGTTGGCGATGGATTAAATTATCATTGGGGAATATTTTACTTATCTTGAAGACATTGATAATTTTAGATATTTAGATGGTGGAAAATGGCCATCTTTACTTTTTAGTGAAAGTTTTTCATAACGCAATCTAGTTGGCTTCTAACAGCAAAAAAATTATTATGTGCAGAGACTACATGTCCAAACGATGGCCGCTGTGTGATTCACGGTGGCATAGCCGAATCTTGACCGTCTTCTAGACATGCAATCATCCACATGCAATAATTTTCACTAATAGTCATTATGCCCACACAGGTAAAACTATTGTATCTTTCTACTGAGAAAGTCCTTATCATTTGCGAAGCTAGCGAGTTCTATAGCAATGCTAGATACATTTGATTGATGTCTTGTTGATTCACTTTGATTTGTCTTACTTTTTTAATTTGGTAATTATTTTATTTAGAAATAATTTTTTGCTGATTTAGAACTTATTATGCTTCTGAATTAATTTTGGAGAGAAAAGCAGGTAAGTGATGTAAAAACTATATGAAATAAGAAAAAATTTGTTAACTTAAAAAAATTAAGATTGAAGCTCTCACACATTAAATTCATGGAGTCGAATCATACGTATAAATCACAAACGATGGCCATAAAAGATTCGTGATTCATGGGGAAAGGGCCCAGGCCACCGTTCCCATTAGAGCACCTCCACCGATCCATCTTGTCCGTCCATTCTCAATCAGCGATCTTGCTATCTCCGTCTCCCCCCCCACCGGGACCCCACCCGGGACCCGCTCTCTGGTGCTCGGGCAACCTGCCTGCCCGACACGTGCCGGTTTCTCAACAGGCCAGCCTACTTACTCTCCCAGTCTCGGTCCACTAGACCGGTTCAAGCTGTGCAGGCCGGCGCTAGCCGCACGATCCGAGTTGCACGGCGGGAGCGGTTGACACCGATGGATGGTGCGTGTGGAGGCCCGCAGCAGTCCCCACTCACGGCCGTTACAGCCCCCATTCTGCGTGGATCGGGCTCACACGTTAAGTTCCTAAACTTTTCTTACCCACAAATCACCCCCACTCTCGCACCTTCTCTGACGGGTGGCAGTCCGGGTGTGCTGGGTTTTTATTAACGTACGGGAGTGCGGACGAAGGCTGCGGCTACGTGCAGTCGAAATTATCATTGACTGCGCCGAATAGTTTCAATTTTACCGCTCTACCGCTCCCTCTTAACCCGTGCGAGCGCAACATCCAACCGTTCATCTGAGACACCACTTCTCTATAAATCAGTCGCATCTTCCTTTCCCCTTATAACGCACCTCCCTCGCCTTCACGCTTCTCACCCCACAGACAGTTTTCTGCCTAATTTCTTTGTTCGTTTGCTTCCGATTTCGTTCCTAAGCTCCTTCGATGGCGCCCAGGGAGAAGGGAACCGGAGCAGGAAGATCTGGCGGCAACGGGATCTCAGCCTCCTGTGAGGGCGGCGGGAAGGAGATGCACTTCCGCGGTGTTAGGAAGAGGCCATGGGGAAGATACGCGGCGGAGATCAGGGATCCGGGGAAAAAGAGCCGGGTCTGGCTTGGTACATTTGATACGGCTGAGGAGGCGGCTAGGGCTTATGATGCTGCTGCAAGGGAATTCAGAGGATCTAAGGCGAAGACCAATTTTCCCTGCTCGGAGAACTACAAGAGTCCTAGCCCGATCGTTAACGGTGGAGGAGCCGCCGGTAGTCCTAGCAGCCAGAGCAGCACGGTGGAGTCCTCTGTTCGTGAAGCTGTATCTATTGTGCCTCCCCTTGCAACGCCCATCCCTCCGCTCGAGCTCAATCTTCTTCATCCCGGCGCATCGCGCTTCCCTTTCCAGCACTTTCAGCCGGCCACCATGGCTGTGGCGCATCCTTTGTTTTTCTTAGATCCCTTTGTCAGATCGGAGCAGGCTGGAGCGATGGCTGCAACGGTAACTATTGCAGGCCATAACGGCAACCATTTACTCGCGCTGAAGCAGCCAATCATTCTCTCTGAGTTTAATGCGCCGGTAAACTCCAGCGCGAACAGCGACTCTGAATCATCCTCTGTCGTCGATCTCCAACATTCATTACCTCTGGTTCGGCACCACAGTTTAAATATTGACCTTAACCTTCCACCTCCGGAGGAGTTCGTCTGATCGATGGATTTTCAACCGCGGCTAGCTAAACAACTAAACATTTTTTTTCTCAGTTTTTTAGTCGAAATCAGAACAGAGAACAGATCCCCTGCTCCAATTTCCTTCATTATGATGTCTGGTTTTTAATCTTCCCCTGCTTTCCTTGAAAAGTAGTGAAAGCCGAACTGATCGGGCGTAGTTGTAAATAGTTTTAACTATTTTAATTTTTTTTTTCTGCTGAGATCTTCTGGAATGGATCTCCATCTCAGTGATGTAATCCTTTTTCAATTTTAATGAAGAAGAAAAGAAAAATAATACTATGTTTGGTGTCATCAATTTTTGTTCGCCGGCGGCGAGGCACGCCGCCACCGGCGATATATTGGATAGTTCTCGCGATTTGGTAACATGATATATCGCGATAAGGTAATAAATGAGGAGCGGTGGGTACTAGCGCGGATCACGAGGCTGACGGGCGTGGAGGGACAAGCGTGTTGACGACGTCTCGCGGAGATCCGCTGCGGAGAGATGGACACGTGGAAGAGCCTGCGGCTGCCGTCCCGGTCCAAAAGCGACGGCTGCTTTTTTTTTTAATTTTAAAATAATTAATGATTACTGTTTAGTTATTTTTAAAGCAGTTGTATTTGCCGGCCGGGGTGGGAGGGAAGGGGGAGGCGGGGCCCACCACGGAATCTGCGGAGAAGATATGTTGCTTTTATGGGTTATTTTTAGCGCCGAGAAATGGCGGGCGTGCGGTGTCGAACTGTGTGGGGCCCGCGTGGTACGGATGCGTGACTGGCGCCGAAGTGTGGGGCCCGCTTGCGCGGTGGGCGTCGGCGACGTTTGTGGGGCCGTCGGAGGCCGTGCCGCTTCAGCTCCGCCACGTAACTCGCGCTTTATAAAAAAACTGTTTTATTATTTATTTATTTATTTGAGAGAGAGGCTTGTTGTGGAGGGAAGCGCGCGCGCGCGCACGCACGCACGCAAGGGGTTGGGGGGAATCGGCGCGTTTGGCGGGGCGGAGTTGTGGAGCAGTAATATGATTTCGTACGCTGAGATGATCATTTAGTATTAAAATATATCATCATTTCGAAAGAGTATATATTATATGGTTTAAACAGACGCAATTCGGCTCCGTTTAATATTAGCATTTTCCGTCTTTAGCACAAATTATTTAATAATAATAATTATTATCACCATATGATTTAATAAATGATGGCCGAAATATGTTATTTAAATATTGGCCATATACTAAAATTTTATTGATCGAAGCAGTCAAGGTTGCTCATTATTAGACCTAATAAGTTTGTTGTGATGGGATTATGCGTGCGAAAATTTGTTTTTTATTTTGATTTCTTGTTATTTCTTGGTATTGAACCAATGGGGGCTATTTTCTTGGTCATTTTCCTAATAAGATGAAAAATCAACTAATAATATGTTATGTCTCGAGGCTTGATAGGTGATAAACGTTAGCTATTGTTTAGCAATAAAGGCAAACAACGGGGGATGTCAATAGTTAGACAAGTGGGTGATCAATTTAATCATTTTTTAAATAAAATAAGACTCTGAGAAGGTGAGCATAATATACTCATTTTCGACGAATGATGTATGTTAGACATTAAATTTCATTCATAATCAAGCATACAAAAACAATCAATGAGAACATTTGGCATTTGCCTATGGTCGGTGATTGGTTTGATCATTATCTTAATGTGAGATAAGAATAACAATCAATAAAAAAGATATCAAATATTGATCATTTGCAAACATTTAAGAAAATAATAATGATCAAATGATGATGAGAGATGAATTCCTAATGTTTGGTAATAGTGAGCTTTGATATTAATAATTGTATGGAATTGATGATAGCGATCACATAATTTAGGTTATGATTGTTAATGAAAAATTGTCTCAATCATTGTATTGATACGAGTAGAGATCAAACAACGGATGAGAAAGGTGTCAGACATTGCTGGTTAGCAGATATGTTAAATATTAATAAGCATTAGGCAATAGTTATATGTGTTTATGCACAAGTACCTTAAAGTTCTCCCTAGCCAGAAATCCTCTATTGGCCATCGAGGATTTACTTTAGAAGAACACAAAGTTTGATAATGCTAAAGATTATATGACTGAATTTAAGTACTTAGGTTTTGATATCAAATTTGATCTTGAGTGAAATAAGAATTCATAAGTGATCAACTTAAAAATTACAAGTTTTTAATGTACATTTCATGCTCATTTTATGCACATTTTTAATGATATTACACTTTAAAGGAATGTATTTTGCATATTTTTTTTCTTCAGGTACAAGAAATGGGTTTTTGGTGAAAATGAAGTAAAAACGATGCAATTTGGAGCCAAATTGAGTAAAGAAGAAAATTCTGATCTAGCGCATTTCAATATGAATTTCCATTCTTAATCTCCTTCATATTTATTCCATATTTTTGAATGAAATTACACTTTAAAGAAATATTATTTTCATGTCTATCTTGTAGGTATATCAATCTAGAGTGCAATGGAGCTGAAATGAGGCGAAATGGAGCTGAAACGGTGGAGCTGCACGTAGGGTCGCAATATAGAGCCCAGAATGGCTCCATAAAGCTAGAAACAAGAGATATAGCACGCCAGACTGGCGTTATAGCACCCGGGACGGTTATTGGACAGGTTTTGGTGATTTCAGGCCATTTGGGATGTTCTGGAAGCTTCTGGACAACTTGATCTCCCCATGGAGTGATTTAGTGATTTAATGAATCTAGATGAATCTAGACACTTTGAAAAGCATTTGAATGAAGAAATGTGTCTCTTAGAATGAAAGGTTGTGTCTTTTGGAGAAAGGAAGGGTTTTTGTGTCTCTTTAAAAAGAGGGGCCTGACGCCTCTCATGAGAAGTAATTAGGGGAGTCTAGCGAAGAAATTATGAAGTGTGGAGGAGCTTGGTGTGAGTTTATGAGGATGTAGATTTTTTCATTTTCTGGAGAGATTGGCTAGGGATTTTGAGAGATATGTGTAAGGAAGTATGAGCGCGCATGGATCGGTAGGAGACTTTGTTGGAGAGATTTTTTTTCTTTTTTTCAGAGGGAAAAAACTAAGTATTGTGTTCTTCATTTCCTTATAATTATTGTAAACACTGTCTAGTAAATTTTATTTAATTTAAATGAGTTTTCATATTGTGTTTTATACATGCTTCGTAAGTAGTTTCTTTACTCTTTTTCTTTAATATGAAGTAGTGACATGTGTAGGAAAATTTGTTTCATGATAGAATTATTTTTATTTTCATGTGATGAGTAATATCTCATTTGCTTCATTTGCATAACTTAAGTGGCAATAGGTTATGTTAAAATTTATTGTAAGTGAAACTAAGACTCGGGAGAGCGGTAATCTCGCAACTTGAGTGCACTCACATTGACCGGTTGGCTAGTAAAATAGTTTAGGCAGTAATACAACTTTTAAAGAAATATAATTTAATGATCTATTTCTATTATATGCTTCTAATTGACAAATAGTTGCATAAAACTAATAGAATACTAAGTATACCAATACACTTGAAAGAGGATAGGTAGACATATGTTTCTTATTGACACATAATTTATTACTTAATTCTATCAATCCTTTTATTGTGTTTGTCATTATCTTCATTATCTTCATTATCTTCATTTTACTTTTCTTTTGTAATGAAATAGATGCATGTTCAGGAATTTAGATTTGCTTAGATATTCTCTTATTTTATTAATGTGATGATAGTTTCACATGCTTTTAATTGACTTTGCAAACTGATCACTTGTGAGTTTAAAATCATTTGCGAAATATAATGACCTGAGAGGGCTATGATTTACCCAACTAGCGGATACCACACTTCATTTTAAGCAGAGTCATTGCGATCACCTAAAGAGGAGTGCAAATAAATATGGAGATAAGTTTTGATGGGCATATAATTGGTTTGTTCTAGAGTGACAGGCTAGATTCTTATAAATTTGGCTTAAGGTTTAGTACCCTGATGCTAGGATTCAACCATCATAGTGGCATAGGCTTAAGGGCATATAGAGGTGAGAAGTTAGATAGTTTTGATGTAGAATCAAGATGTTAAGAAATTAGCCTTAAGTTGGCAAATATTCTTTGCTAGCACCGGGAAGGGGTCAAGAATAAGTGTGCTCCTATTTGTCGCTGACAACATTATATTTTAAGCATTACATTCCTTCACATTATCTAAGTCATTGCACGTGAAGGGTAGTCTTTGATTTCTCAAAATTTTCCAAAACCAATTTATCTGGAATAGTTATCTTTATATCTAGAAAAATTATCTTTAGAATTAAAATTTGCATTTAGGAATAGTTGTTATCATTACATTTAATAGATGCATTTAATAGTAGTTGCTAGATAAAACGTCATCTTAATCGACTTTTCAAACTAAGATCTGATAGTAGTAAACTAGAATTAGCCTAAGGGATTTCTTACCTCATTTCTTTATGGGATCGATATTTGAGGTTTTAAAAGAAAATCCTATTTTGCTTGAAACGATATGTATACTTATGTAGAACTCCTAGTTTGTAAAATATAAATCAAAATCTAAATTTTATAAAATATTATTTTGCACACTAGCCGCTTAAATATAAATTGGGTCAAGTTTTTGGCCATCTTTCAGAGCTTAAAAATCTATGTAATTGCGAGTTGACTCAATAAGATGACCCATATAGTATAATTTATTCTCAAGTAAAGGCTAGAAGAACTGGCTTCTACAATTAAGGTGTTTTGTTGTTGAAGAATCAAAAAGTTGAAGGATAAGTTTGTAGAGAGATGTTATCCCTTTGTTCAATTAATCACTTATTATTATTATAAACGAATTTGCCAAAGCTCCCAAAATCCTACTATAATGAAGAAGGATGACACCTAATATCAACCTAAATTATAATAATTATTGTAACAATTATAAGTTTGTCATAGATAATTATAAAGATATTCAACCCCTAGTTGAGTGCTCTATAAGGACGAATAATAAGTTCCTAGGTAAGTATGGTGCTCCAATATTGCACAATCATGAGGTGGTATAATAAGAGGAACACCATTTAAATTAATTAACATCACACATGTGATCATTAGAGTATATATTTAAGAAATACATCAATGTAGTCTTAAGTGTCTGATTGAGTTTAAGGTCCATTCTTTATAGAAATCTCCCGCGCCTTCACTAACTTTAACTAATAAAAATGCCTTCTTTTTAAAAGCATTAATGTTGTCCGATCATCATA